AACCAAATATAGATTTCTCCTTCTTACAAACTTAAGCATGTTAAAAGGCATTTAATATTCTATTTGTATGCTTTAAAAGAATTGTTCCACATAATTACTTTAGTATGTATCAGCCTAACAATTTGTACTATTTTGCAAAGAAAAAGGCAAAAATAAACCTGAAAAATTGAATTTTTACAAAAATAAACCCTCTTTTGTAGTGATCAAAATAAAGATGTTTATCATACCGAGGACAACAAAGCTTTAAACGGAAAATTTTTTTAGAAATCATTATTTTTTCTTCCAGTTTGTCTAGTTGCGGTCTCCTATCAACACCAAATCCGCTTTTCTCCGATGATTCATGATTGATAATTGATATCAATGAAATTTACGCTGTTTAATTAGATCCTACGATAACCCCCCCCCCCCCCAAAAGTAATTTTTGAAGAATGTAAAATATAGAATGGGGATATAATTCCAAATTTAAAATACAAAATAAATGTTTGTTTCTCGAACAAAATTGATTCATTAATTAAATATTTTCTGGATGGTGAGATCGTTTTAAAATAAAGCATGTTCTATGACATGTGTTTCTGTCTGAAATAAAATCGTCTGCAAATCGTTGATATGAGAATAAAACTTCTGATTATTACAGTCCACCAAGTTTCATCAGTTCTAAATTATTTATTTTTTAAGTTTGGCATTATATGGTCACGGCTGGTTGCATATCAATTATCTAGCATACATGTGTTCATAGGGTGCCTACCCAATCGGTTTTTGGGACACACTCAATCAGTTTTTATGAGCATCATATATCTTATTATAATCCAAACTAAGAAATAAACAACCAACCAATATTACCAGTATACGTGTCACTTTTTACACTATATGACAGGCGTTTTCCAAATTTGCAATGCGCCAGTCTTATCATAAGTTCGTTTGTTTGTTTATTTGTTTGATTGTTGTTTAACGTCCCTCTCTAGAATATTACACTCATATGGAGACGCCATCACTTGCCGGTGGAGGACTGCAAATTTATACCTATACTCGGCACTTAGGGCCATTGAGCAGTGAGGGATCTTTTCCGTGCCAACTTCTACTGCGACACGGGACCTCGGTTTATACGGTCTCATCCCAAGGACCGGTATCCACGTCCCGCAGTGGATTCGAACCCGCGACGTAAGGATCAGCTCCTTACTCAGCGACTCTAGAGCAGACGCTCTAACCACTGCGCCACGCGGGCGACCTAATAAGTTCGTTAATCAATCAGTAAAGAAAATGTATTCCTCAATCAATCAATATTCAATCATTAAATCAATAATTAGTTCAATCAATCAGTCGTTATGAGCATCAAACTTCTGATTAGAATGTTTTGAATTCGTATTTACAGCAGATGATAGCTTGGGAATTATCTTCTAATTTCAAAATGTTAACCAATATTCCTACAGGACTACTTTTTTCATTAATTTTTTATTCGAATCTGTTAATTTTTCTTTTTTTTCTGTTTCTTTCCATCATTATTTTAAGTCATTATTTGCGTCTTACAATTTTAAACAAATGTCTCGCCCTATCTTGACTATAGGTTTGTTGCAAAAGAATTTGGTTTACAGTAAATCCTAAACTTTCTAAATCCTATTTGAAAGAGAATTAGACAAGTATATATTTTCGGTCACTTGAAATTTGTTTAATTTTCAGAAATCACGAATAACACCCAATTCTTGAAAAAGACGATGTGCAAAGTATAAATGAAGAAATTCAAATATCACGAGTAATCTTTTATTTTCTTTCAAACGTTTAATTACGGCAGCTTCATCATATTGGTTATCATCAAATTTCTTTCAGGTTTCAGATCAAGACAGGTTATCATGATAGATCCAGATGAATAAGGTGACGAAGAACTGAAAACATATTTGGCAGATTAAGGACACAGCATAGTTTTAAATAGATTTGACAATTAATCTTAATTTACAATCCAAAAACTATAAGAAAATCAAACCAAATACAAAACGTGGCTTTTCTAATTAACTCTACCAACTGTACCTTGCGTGTTGTCGCTTCGTTAAGCAAAACTTGTACATCTGTTTGTTCACTTTTCTTGTGTGTTACTTTGGGTTAATGATTTTATCTAACTTGTACATCTATTAGTTCACTTTTCTTGTTTGTTACTTTTGGTTGATTTTATCTAAATTGTACATCTATTTGTTCACTTTTTTTTTCTTGTTTGATACTTTGGGTTGATTTTAGCTAACCTGTACATGTATTTGTTCACTTTTCTTGGTTGTTACTTTTGGTTGATTTTATCTAACTTGTATATCTATTTGTTCACTTTCTTCTTTGATAAATGGATTGATTTTATCTAATTTGTATTTAAGCATTGAATCAATTTTTTTTTTTGAAAGATATAGTCTCATAACTGCAACGGTGTGTGCAAACAAATTGAGTAACGCGCGTTAGCCATTTGTTTATAATTTACCAATTAACAAATTAATTATATCAACACTCGGACGACTCACAGGTATAGTATTATCTATGTAAACACCCAATTAACACGTCCATCCCAGCCCCAGGCGTTCACTGTTATCCAGGTAAGTCCAATTGCAAGTATTAATTTTACGCTTGATTGGCGTGTATACATGAGCAATCAAAACTTCGAGAGATAGAGAGTAAAAAACAATGAAATGTGTGTAATGGGACCCAGGTCTTGGTTCGAGAGATAGAGAACTTCGAGATATCGGAAGTTCGAGATATCAGGAGTAAATTTGCTTAGTTATATAGAGAAAAAAATCGGGACCGGAGGTTCACTTCGAGAGATCGAGAACTTCGAGAGATCGGAGTTCAAGCCATCGAGAGTCAACCGTATTTACATTTTGAACTCCTTGCCTTGATTGCAAATGTGATTTATATTTCAAAATCCCTGTATAATTCTTTGGGTAAGTTACAATTAATGGAAGAGCAATTGCAACAGCTTCTGTTCAATGTGAGCGTGAATTTTGATTTTCGCTTATGACCTTGCACTTCTACGGCGTTCAACGTTTTTGACGTCAAAATATAACTATCACCTTAACATTTTGACCTACTGTCCTTGTTATGGTGTTTTGAACGCCATAGCTTTCCTCACACTTTCTAAGCAAAATACATGTGGAATGTAAATAGATCTATTTATTCACTTTTCCTGTTTGATACTTTGGGTTGATTTTATCTAACTTGTACATATATTTGTTCACTTTTCTTGCTTGATACTTTTGGTTAATTTGATCTAACTTGCATTTAAGCATTGAATCGTTATTTTTTGAAATATATACATGTAGTCTCATAACTGCAACAGATGTTTCAGATTCTTATTTTTACCAGTAACTTTTTTGCGAATATGGAATATGAAGTCTTAAACATCATAGTGCATTTCCGTAATCATCATAGTTCAAGTACCACAAAAGTATGCAGGTTTCAAAATTATCAAAAGTTTACATTTTTCCAATTTTAAGACCCAAGCCATGGTAACCATTCAACCATGACATCCAAGATTTCCCAAATTGTTTCTTGATGTAAGCTTTTATGTAAAAAAAAAAAAATAGGAGTAAATATGTGATCATGGGTGTGCCTCAGCTCTTAAATAAAAGTGTTAAAACCTTACATAGAAAGGTTTTTTAAAAACATTTACACTGTAACAAAACGTACACAGAGAGTCCTTTTTTATAAACGACTTTTTAAAATAAATTTATTCATCAAATAGATGCAAAAGGCATTAATAAACAATAATTACAAATGTTGTAGAGGGTTTTTGGTTTAGGAAAAAATATTTAATCAACGCAAGAGGGGGTAACATGAAAAGCAGCTTTGTAATGATTACATGTACAGCAGTGGAAGAGAATATCCTCTCTGGGTGAAGGGGCGTTACCAGGATCGCTAGATAGCGTCTAGCCAGAACAGGAGTCGATGATATTTCGTGGAGTTTTCCTTTCACTAGCTGATCGAATCTTGATCATGTATGTGTACATATTCATGCACAATCATGTTGACACTTCAGATTTCTGGTGTTTGTCGGAAGGCCCTTCTATCATGAAATCGAGCATATTTTGAGATTTGGCCTTTGGTTGAAAACATTCTTCCATGGGTTCCTAAATACGAGAGGAACAGGAATGGGTCTCGGAGGAACTTCTTCGAATTCAGACTCAAGAACGTCGATGGCAAGTATCTGTTGTAGACTGAATCAGAAATTCAATTGTTTGCGTCTATATGTTTAAGCAAACTAGAAAGAACTGGAACAGTTGAAACAGAAATCAGAATGGAGTTAACTTCCAATAACCTGCTTAATTCTTGAGAGGACATATATCATCTTCTAAGCTTCAAAGATGCTTTTTCAAGAAAAAAAAATAAATGGATATATATTACAGAGGCCGACAAGTTATTTGAATGAAAAAGGTTTATGAAACATTTGTTAAAAAACATGCTAAAGCAATACATGATATTTCGATGTGCATATGAAAAAATATGTTTTTTCCTGAGAAATTCCCTTTTTCATTCCATTTGTTACGCCATAATTTACACACTGAATTGTCTAAGGATTTTTCTGTTTTCCCCGATAATGACAAGGAGCACACGGTAGGCGTGGCCCGTCTGCAGGGGATGCTCACTCCTCCATGGCACCTGATCCCACCTCTGAAGTTTTTGGAGGTCCGTGTTTGTTCTGCTCTCGATTTGTATTGTCATGGACTTTGAGCTTGAATATTGTTCGTTATCTCCATATTTCGTTTTAACATAGATTAACAACATTTTTAACTTCAGTCACAAATAAACATCAATTTATGGATCATTTCACTTTAAGTATTTTCAAAATATAACCCTATTTATCTTATCCTCAAGAATTTTTTCTTCAGAGTGTATAGAGGAAATGACATTATAACTTCGGGAAATCTGTCCTTCTAAAGCATGATGAAGCCACATCCGATAAGGTCACAAAACCTCTTATCTAGGATCACAAAGTAGTAGTTGGGATAACGGTCTTTTGTGTCAATAGATATAGATCAGTTTATGTAGTTTCTTTATTAGGAAAATAACAAATAAAATTTTATTTAGGAAGTAAAAGTTTTTCAATAGATATTGCAAACAAAATATATTTTCTGGAAAAACAAAAAAATATTGAAAAGAAATGAAACATTTTCAGATTTTCATTATTTTCGGACAAGAAAATTACCAAAAAGTCAACAAGAGTTCATAATGCAGTATATGATCACCTCTCTCTCTCTCCCCAATATAATACAAGGGTTTTCAATCAAAACTTTATACTAAGTATTAGATTGAAACTAATAGAACATATACTACGTACGGATACCTTAATGCAATCACGTTCAGTTATCTTTTAGAATACATATATGGTAACATTCAATAAACTGTACACATCTCTGGTCATTAATGTTATAAACATTCCTCTAAACAGCAAAGTCGATCTGTATAAATTTCACGTCTTTCCATTTTAAGATTTAAAGACTCGAACGAATTTCCGAAAGCACTTTATACATTCTTCTCTGAATTTTTCGCTCATGAAGCTGTAGATGACTGGGTTTAGGGACATACTGAGAAGGTATGATCTCAGAATAAACTGATAGAAAGCTTTCCCTGTGTAGGAAAGGGATGTGTAATAAGAAGGCTGCACATATCTTATAATAACGATGACGCAAAACGGTATAAAGGAAAGCATGAAGAGCAGCGTGACCAAGAACAACATCAGGGTGATCTTGATCATCCGGGCCCTTCTGGCCTCCTCGCTTTGGATTGACATTGATCTTTGTCTTTTAAATTTTGCACGTTTCTCAGCTGCTTTGTTGCCACTGTTGCTGTCTGTCTTTTTAAGAGATCTTTTTGTACTGGAATTCAAGCTTTTCATTTCTGCCTCAGTGTCGGAATTTTCTTGGCTGTTGCCATATTTATTGGAGAATTTCTTCAGTATAGAGGGACTCCTTCCAGAACTATTGTCGTCCAGGAAGACATCCTCCGTGTGAGAATGACTTGTACTTTGACTGTACTTCCTTGATTCTGTAGGTGTTTGGCATAAAAATGATGATCCCCTCTTTATAACCTGGATGGCAATTAGACTGTAGGTTATGATGAGAATTAGATCAATTAACAGATTACCTGTTAAGAGAACAATCACGAATGCTAAAGGGTAGTCAGTTTTTACAAAAGAATCCTCAATCAAGCACATATGACCAATTACGTATGTCCTGGGGGCTACTGGTACCTGAACTGATTGTATGCCATAGACAACTAAACTAGGCCAAGCAAAAACAATAGCGAAAAATGCACCAACGAAAACAATAATCTTAGCTGTTTTTGTGGACATCTGAGTTTTAAGTGGTCGGCAGATACTTATGTAACGGTCCACTGCAATACCCAGCAAAGTAAAGGATGAACAGTTGTTCATCATGAAAGTCAAAAATCGGGAAAACTTGCACAAAACTCCATTAGTTGTTTGAAACCATCGAAGCATGAAATAGAGTTCCGTTGGGGCTGTAATGCAACTGTTTATCAAGTCAAATGCAGCAAGTGCTAAGATAAAAACCCGCGACGTGGTTTTTCTCCATCTTGTAAAGTAAATGTAGAAGACAATGGCATTTCCTAGGCATCCTATAACAAGCATAACAACTGTGTAGATAAAGCTTGGGATGTAGACTTTATCGAACACAGAATCGTTTATTTTCTCTACAATGACTTCATTCCGCAAAACGATAATTGAATTTCCAGCAGTGCTATTGCTCAATACACTAGATATACTGCTGTTGTCTGAAGCACTGTACATACTGTTGGTTATATTAGCTCTCTCCATGATGACTGAAATTAAAGAAAATCATTTCAAATAAAACTTGGAGCATTCCCTTGTGAAACTTCTATTAATCCGTTTTCTTTAATTATGCAATCTGTTTCAACGAGCTATTCGGTTGATAATATTGTATTTACAGTTAATTCAATTTTAGTACAAGACAGGCGTATTTTTACAATTTTTTCTTACCGTGAAAACAATGCGGATCTTCGGTGAAAATTTTTGATAAATAGAGATGTGTGCTAAAATTCCTATTTTATAGTCATGAAGCAGTATCGGAAATGACGCCAATTTTCACAACAAAAACACTCAGTCGTGTATATTACAGTGTTGATGTTTAATGTTACAGCAACTCTCTGCATTAAACTGAGGGGCATTACAATGGGTATTTTAATTTACAATTCTTAATTTTTATATGTTAATTATTGACTACATACTAGTATATTTATTATGTCAAGAGTGTTCCTTTGTAAAGTAATATAGATACCTACAAATCTCGCTAATTTAAATGGATACTTACTATGTCAATGTTAATCTTTGACATTATCTTCCCTTTATAAATAACATAATTATATCTTTCTTCATTTCATTTCAATAATAACGCTTTGTGTTGAAATGGATTTATTTGAAATAATTAAAACCTTGTTATGGCGTGTAAAACTTTGCTATATTCAATAATATTTTGATGTATATTTAAAATCTTGTGATATATGTTCAAGTGTTTTACTCGTCATACTTTGTAATTATTTTTTCCTTTGTGCGCTGATCAATAATTATATTAAAACAGGATAACAAAGCGCTAGTATATTTTAAAGGACATACAATTCAAGAAAGGATATTTACTAAAGAAACACATACATGCACAATACCACATACACAATATAGATTAAAATTTACCATCCAATAAATCAAGAAGCGGATTAACTACTTACAAAACAAATACGCAATGTGCCTGCTGATATGTATAATTGGAGCCTATTCAACACGCAACAGAGAAATGCCCGACGAATGCCTGACGTTAATTTCAGCCGTTAAACACCTGTAGGTCGCTTAATTTATAATTATTCAACATTTATTTGATAACAATTTGTGTTGTCAGCAGCGGAACCAACTGCCAGGAACAATGGATTTGTCGTTTGAAATAGCTCTCATGGCCGTTATCAACGCTCCAACAGTTGGATATTTGTCTGGGGTCGTACAAGGGAGAGACAAAAGAGAAAACTTGGGCGTGATTAATCGTTCTTGAATTGATAAGGTTTTTTGTTGAGGGAATGTCTATCGGTTCCATAAATATGGCCTTACAAACAGGCTTCCATTGCAAATTATGACAACCAGGAATGGCTTCTGACTTTCTACTTAATTAAATTCCAAAAGTTACGAGTCGCCTATCGCGACGTGGGTTTTGTAAAATATTTAGAATGCGATTAAATCTTAATTGAACACTGTGCTAATCTATACCCGCTTCTAATAAGCATTTACAAAATCCTTTTGGTAAATATTTGAGAATGTCGAATACTTAATTGTTTACATATGCTTTAGATTATGCTACAAATTCTAGTCATATCACCACTTTGGGGTGGAATAATTTCCTTTGGTTAATTAGGTCTAATACGACATTTATTAATTATCCGTGTTGGCAGAACATATAAGTAATTGGTTGGTTAAGCTTTTATAAGTAGTAATAAAATGATATTGATATTAAACAAATCTTGCGGTAAACATTGCAAGACACATGTCAAAATAAAATTCACAAATCAGAGATTGGCAATGAAACGTAGAATTACTGAAAGAGAAATCCTCATTTCTTTCTCGTTATCAAAATAACACGGTAGTCTGTTTAACATGCAAGTCTTTTAAGCTACTAAATATTTTATTTTAAAATTTCCGGTAGGTACTTCGACATTTAAGTTGCACATCGTGTCAAGAACATTCTCTGGATAAGCATCAGTGATCTATATATCACAAGGAGGAAGTATCCTTGAATGCAGTTTCTATATATACATATATACATATACATATAAGCATACAAACAAGTATAACATCTCAAGCATGTAAAGTCTATCTGAGTTAGCAAACAATGTTTGATATTATGTCTTGTAAGATCTTAGTTCTTGTAGTAAAACCATTGCTTTCTTTGGCTGTTTTTAATTCTTCTCGTTGTTTTTATTGACTGTCTCTATCATAAGAATTTTGTTATTTGTTGTTGTTTTGATTGCGCATTTAATGCTATGGTTATTGTGTGTCTACGTAGGACATATTTTAGATAAGGATTATTTAGAGGAAATGACGAATTGTGGTCAACTATAAACAAGAAATTATGAAATAAATGATTGAAATTTACAAAGCTATCATTTTCTTATGTATTTTTTATACAAAAAAAACTCTTCTTTTCTTCGTTAAATTTTCAGAGAAAAGAAAACTATCAACATTTGTTAAACTACATACAATGCAGCTTTTTTCGAAATAGTATTTTGACAAGGGTCACGTTAAAGAAGGGAGAAGCCGTAAAACACTTGGCATATGTGTACATCTTCCGATGAAAGGTCTCTCGACTTGATAAAGAATTCATAAAATTCCGGCATTATAAGATGCTTTCTGTGTTGGCTAAAACTATTGTTATAGAGATATACCAAAGTTCATTATGAAGAATTGTTATTGTAAAATAGAAATTATTGATTTGCAAAACAAAATCAAGCTTAACACAACCTGTTCATAAATATTTGTAATAGGCTGGGGAAAATTGAAAGTTAAACCAAATTAAATATATAAAGTAAATAAGTTAAATCACATCGGGTCCAATCTGGATTTAATTCCTGAAAATGTTGTAAATACATGTAACTTTGTATGCTTTTAGTTTACTTTGAGAGAGAGGGGGGTATATGAAGTGACAACCCTAATGTCTGCTAACTTTAACCAAAAATCGACTGTGACGTTAATCTTTAACCCACAATGAAGCTGTTAGTGTGAAACCTTCACCTATTGTAACTAATAACCCATACTTATCTACAAATTTGCAAAAATGATGGAAACAGCACAAGGAAGTTGGTCCAGATATGTTCTATGTCACTAATCTGCTATCATCCAGTTGAAAAATCAATTCAAAAAATAAATTATTGAGTTAGAATGTATCCCATCTTGTAGTGAACTAGGTTCCATGACAGCTATTAAAAAGCAGCATAATTACAATGCCCATACCAAAAAGAGGAGATTTTATCAACATAAATCAAAATTATATCACATTTAGCTGAGGTGGAAGGCGGGTACTGAAGGAATTTGCCAATTAACGACGCTATTTCTGCAATAGGTTGTGTTAATTCTCGTAAAATGGAAGTAATCTTTGATAAGACTAACGCTTGTGTTCAGAGAGGAAATTCCTCTGGGTAGATATAGCTACTATAATTTAATCTAATGCCATAAAAGTGTAATTTTTCTAAACCTTGAACAAACATTACTTGTAAGGCGTCGTCGTCTATTGAAGTAACTCTCTGACCCTCTGTTCTGCCACCTCAAGCAAGGAAATCTGTCGCTGCAATTCTTATTTATTTATTAAAACCATTCTGTCTTACAGAAATGGCGTCTTAAATCATCTGGGTTTTTTTTTTTAATTTGTTTTTGTTTGTTTTGCTTTGTGATTTATTTTTGTTTTTATTTCTGTTTGTTTTCTTGTTTCTCAGTACATATCCTTTATTGTTAATTATTGTAAATTTGCTTCCTCTTTTGTTGTTGTTCAGCTTGTCAAAAGATTTAATTGTTTAGGTTTATCATTGCTATTTTCTATTATCGAGACTAATACATATTTTATTATTTATTTAGAATCTCTCGTTTTAAAACTGTTTTAACTGTTAAAACTGAATTGTTTATATTTATTTTTAAAGATATTTTTATACACATTAATACAGTTTGAATTTGTTGGCACAAAATGCATTTAACAAAGTTTACTTAAATCTTGTCTACATTGTGCCCCAAATAATTGTCAGGTTTTAGAAGAGGGTATTTCCTTGGGACATCAGCCCCAAGGGAAGTACCTTCTTTCTAACTTAAGAACCTACTTATACTATACATCAACAGCAAGCTAAAAAAGAATAGCTCTGTCACATATTTCATGAAGGCTATCGATAATTGTATGAGATACACTTTTGATAGATATTAAATGTTGAGTTCATTATTAAGTGAGAAGTCTAAAATAAAATTTGAAAGTAAGAAAAAATTGTTTTCAACTTATAATCTTATGCAATCTTATGCAATTAACAAAACACACTAAGGGAAAGTTTTTTTTCTGATTCATTCAGTGCTCTCTTGTATATGTAACTTTAAAATAAAGCTTTAAACGTATTAAAGTTCTTGAAATTCACCCACTAGAAATCCTTAGAAAATACTTCCTGGAGTGACATTAGTATATACTGGGGGCGATGTTGAATGTTACATGCACGCCAATGTAATCTAAAATATGCCGTATATAGTAACATTTTAGTATCTTCTTGTTTATGAAAATTTCATATGCAAAGATGTGTTTGGAGATAAAAAATTTTAGTCTGATACTTTCTTTACAAATTTAAGAAGTACGTACTTATTAGATTTGATTGTACGTTTTTATACCACTGACATCATTTGAAGAAAGATTTTTATAATTGTAAATGAGAACCTGCTGGATATTCTGCAAAGGGATAAATAAGTATCTCGCCAGGAAAAAAGTTGTTGGATTGAAAAGAAAAAAGTAATCTCAGAATGTCAAAAAGTTATCATCAAAATACACATAATATTTATTATATATTTACTTTGGATTCATGGATAGAAATAATAATGCAGAGAAGCTGATGCAAGTAAATTTAAAATACCTGTATCAGAATTTAAAGATTTTGCATTCCTCTGACAATTCTAGGAACTCTACAATTTCCAGAATCCAGGGATTTTGTATGAAAGGTAGTACGCTCTTTGATACTTTTTCTGCAATGTACTACTCACCAGCGTGAAACATCTATTTATAGCTTTT